GACGAGATGAATTTACATATGTTAAGCTTCCAAAATCCCTCACTTCATTGATGCTTATCGAATATTAAAGGTGATACCAAACCCATAAATGTACAAAAACCACCCACTGCTTTCCCGGTTCACCCCTTTGGCGATTCCTTTTGATTGCTCAGTTTGTCGTAAAACTTTGTGCTTACCCGCCAAGGATGCTTTGATTTCTGGGGAACGCCTGCCGAAATTATTTCAATTAAGTTTCTTACAAACCACTCCAACCCCATCCCCAGAAGACTCACACCCCGCGGATTTTCTTTCATTAGTTGCTCTTGTTTTTGTTTTGCCCCTGGAATTTATTGTCAGGTTCGATGGCTGGAAAAGTTTTTATTGCGCGCGCCTGGAGTTCGCCTCTTGTTTGGCTTTTGATTATTCAAATTAAGCTTAATTGTTAAGGTGGCTCTGTAGATGGCCAATAAAAATAGTCGTTGAGTCGTCTTGAATTGTTTGGGGATTACGATCGTTATTGGGGCAGCACTTTAGTTTAGTTTTCGATGGCGATTTGATTTCTCTCGCATCGAATTTTGTCCTAGCTTTGTTTTCCACTCACTCCCTTCTGTTTTTGCCGTTTGGAAAAATCGAAGGGCGGAAGCGTTTCCAGTGCCAACAATTTTTTTCATCGATTTGCGGTGTACCTTTTTGTGACACTCCCCTTGTTCCGGTGGTTTTTGTCAAATAGGCCCTTACCACCACTAGAGTACCACTTTTGAGTGGTTTCAAAAGACCATATGATGTCCTCTACAATTCTCTGCTCATTTTATGACAGATTTTATAATGTCTTTTAACCTTCTTTCCTAATTTGTTTTATTTAAAATATATTGTACATATTTTTTAATATTTTTAACGATTTTCGTTTAATTTTAAAACTTATAAGCTGATCACTACTCCATCAGTTAAATCTGAAACACTGGATATTGACCGAAATACCCACAGAATTTCAGTGCCAAAGTTGGTCAGCGAGTATGGCGCGAAATTCGTACATTAAATGGAGTGGACTTCCGCTTGGTGAAAGCTGCGGCATCGAGTGGTGGCTCCTCCATTGGAGTGGCAGAAATATGTGGATAGATGGAATCGACTGCCGAATTTATGCCCACTGGCCAATAATCCATTTTTGGGGCCATCAACTAAACCGAAATATTGGCTCATCCATTGTTTCCGTGCTAATTGTTTGGGAGAATACATTTGCCAGCAATTTGCCAGCGAAATCTCCGTTTGAAGCTTTTCTTTTTTCCCCTAACATCTCCCCGCCATCCCTTTTATTTTTCCACATTTTTTTTTGGCACCACCTTTGCTTTTGGGGTTGGGGATTGGCGGAGGATTTGTGGGCACATCTGCTGGGAAGGTTTGCAATTATTTTGCAAACAATGAAATTGTTGCTGCGTGTGCAAACATAAAATCAAATTGTGTGTAGGTGTGCAGCTGTTACGGCTCAGACACAGATACAGATACAGTAACGGAGGCGGACGCAGATACAGATACAAAGATACTTGTGAGGTGTCGCAGCTGCCGAGCGAGCGTTTGCCATTGATTTGATTTTGCTCGGTTTACCTATTTGGGGGAGTCCATAGATATGCAAATTACTTGCCAGGGAGTGGCAGGTGATGGCTCCATAAAAAGCGTAATCAATATGTTTCGTGGATGGGCAGGGAGCGTGTTGCATGGTGCTAGAGCGGCATTTACTCAGAAGTTGGGCGGCAAATGAATTTAAAATGAGCTGGGGCTGGCGCGAGAAATTTTCTGGGCAAATTTCGCTAACAAAGTGCAAATCGAGCGAAAAAAATCACGGAACTGCGACAAACGCCACGATCTGGCTAAATTAATCACGTGGCCATACATCAAAACAAACAGATCATGACAAATGCAGGGCGTAAATCGAGCAGGGACATCCCCACCGGATCACTCCTTCCTAGATTTCGTACTTTTTGTGGCTCATTGTCCGCAGTCTCTTTTTTTTTTTAGATACTCTTCCTTGATCTTACTAACAAATGAGACCAAAGACTATTTAGGGACAGGTATTTATTCTCTGGTACATGAGTTTTAGAAGGCCCGAGTAGAGACCAACTAAAGGGCGTTTAAACTTCGACTTGCTTTCAAGGAAATCCCTTCACTGGCAGTGCTTTAATTAAAATAATTTTTACGTTTGCTGGCAGGGCTTTTTCCACGTGAAATTCCACCGCAGAACAAAGCAGGAGGACCGGAGCAGACGACAGCCAAGAAGACGACATAGCCGCTGTCATGTTCGCTTGTCTAGAAATGTGTCCGTTGGCCAGGTTTGCATCCAACATCCAACAGCAACACTCCAACCCATTCCCATACCAATTGCCAGACTCCGGCCAATGCCAACGCATAAATTATGCTTCGTTGTCGTCGGGAAGAGGAGAAGAGTACTATAGTATCATAGTTCTTAGTGCGGCAGACTGAGGTGACAAAAGGTACCACAGACTGAAAAATAAACGGCAGACTGGCTGCGGGAAATTTCTTGGCAGACACAAAATAGTTTTTAGCCAGACGAGAACCAAAAGCAGCCTTCCCGCTCACTTGCCCACATTGTCCGACAGGCAATGGAGTTTTAATTGTCCAACGGGCCCGCATAAATTTTAAGCTGCGCGATTTAAGATTTTCTAAGACATTTGAAGTCAATCTATCGAAGCCTCTTAATGGTCAACCAGGTGCCAGCTTCCCAGACATGACCGCAGCAGAAAACATATAGAAATGCATCTGAAAAAGCCGAAACAGAACAAAACACGACTATTTGGCCGACAGCCAGCCAGGCAGCTGGCCAAGGGGAGAACTCTTAAAGTGTGGTCGGGCGGGAGCATGGAAACAAGAGTTTTGCCCCCACCTTCTGGCCAAGGAGTAAGGGAAATGTTTTGCATTTCAAATTGCATTTTAATCGCATTTCAACCTGAAATGCCATTAGACATAATTCGTTTAGCCGCATTTGTCATTGGCTCGTATCCCGTATTTCGCCTCTCGCCTCTTGGCTTTCGGCTTTCGGACCCTGGGTTCTCTGGACTCTGGACTCAAATCATTTCGATATGGCCAGGAATGTGCATAGATGATTGGGATTGTTTCGCTCCAGCGGAGGACAATTGGCGTCCGCACACGTAAATCAACTTTGGCATTGATTTCCACTGGCTGACTGGCTGTCCCATGTCGATTTCGATTTGCATGCAACTGTCCAGATTATGCAATCACTCCCCCATGTCAAATTCGTCCTGCCGTAATTGATTGTGAGCCATCACCGCCCCTCAGTCCACTGGCATTTAATCAATTTATGCCCGGTGCTCGAATGTCAATCGAAAGTTCGAAATGGATTCGTTTGAAACGATCGATCGATGGCCGGTGCACTGCACTCGATGCAGGCACGTCTTGGCACCTGTCAACACCTTCGATCTAGTGATTGATCTGCACTGAAAACAATCACTATTAAAGGTTTGACTATAACAAACTTTGTTAAACAAAGATTTATATTTTAAAAAGATCTTTAAATGCCTAAAAAAATGATTCAAAAAGACTAAAATATCTGAGTTTCAAAACGTAAAAATTATATTATTTTCAGTGAAAGTCTCGGGCAAATGGCTCTGCATCTGTTCTGTTTTCTGTGCCTTCTCTAGTATAAATAGAAGACTCACCTTGCCGATGAAGGTGTTGAAAGGCTGGCCCATCTACTGATTGACCGATCGTTGGCATATTTAGATTTAAATTTAAATTAGCTCTATACATTGTATGACTTATCGATTTAACCAGACTGACCCTGACTGAGGCAGAAATCATTTCTTTTAGGTTTTTTGCTACTTTATTCATCTGGTGGGACAGCTGGTGAAAAAACTCAATTTCCTGGCCGTAGACTGGGGCCATCAAAAGCTTTACGACGGCAGACCGCAACTTGAAATTTAACACACGTTGCGCCGGGATAGTCGTCGGTTGACCCTTTGGTCTGTCTGGGTTCTGTTGCTTCTTTTTCATTTTTCGCATGTAATGTGTGTAATCAAAGTAACAAAATCCAAATCATATTTCCTTCATTGACCACAAAATGTGGGCGGCCAACCCTTTTCCGCTTCCCACCCATTCATCTTCGATGCGCATATAAAACATTTTACTAGATTCATACAATCAATGCCCGGCCTCGGAACATTTCTTAACCTTGTTAGATTGTACGTTTTTTCCCGGTCTCTGGTCTGTAGTCTCTGGGCAAAATTATTGGTCTGCGCATATGTAATCATCTCTGTGGTGGCTGCGATTCAAGACCCTGGGCAAAGTGGCAGGAAGGTGGATGTTCCATGGGACACGCCATAAAGTGCACACAATCAAAACGAAATTCGTTTTTAGGTACAACTCCTTGGAGTGTTTTCTTCAAGGGTTACTTTGTTACATCCTTTTTATTTATTTCCCGTGTAGTATATTTGAAAATCTTACTGGCCTTTTGGACAGGACTATTTCACATATGTTGGCAATTTTTTATTTATTGGCATTGCGTTTTATGAAAAGGTGTTGGGCTTTGGATGGACCAAAAAATATAAATTGTCTGCGAAATTCTTAAAGCGGTTAAAGTTGAAGAATTCTTTTATTCTTCACTATTAATTAAACTTTTGAATAGAGTCTACTCCATGAAACTTATTTAAATAAAAGGTGTATTTGGGTGGAAGTCAACAAAATTGCCGAGTCAGCAGATGGGGTTGGGGTGCCAAGGTCTGACACCAAACACGTCGTTCGGCGGTGGACGAGAGTTCATTATTAAAAGTTTTTAAAAGCAGATAAGTGCACAGACTGATAGAGATACTCGTATCCGAGTTTGGCAAACACACGCATAGAAGGATATGACACTGAGAAAAAATTAAGAATTATATGCAAGAACGCAAGTCATTCTTATGATTCCAAAAATACCTATAATTGTCCTGTTTTTTAGACTAAAAGACAAGTCATTTTGAATTATATATATTTTTAGCGAACATTACAACGATTTTTTTTTTCAGTGCTGTGGAGCGATAACGATAGCCCCTGCTGAGGCGTCACTTCACCTCTAATTGAAACATTAAGTTGCACATCACGTACGCGGTGTCAGACACTAGACGCCACCAGAAGACTGGCATTTTGGGGCACGAGGGAGCTCGTAGTATGCTAGGAGTATGCTAAAATGCGGTTGGCGGTGGCCTTTGGGTTTACCTTGCTTCTGGGGCAGGGACTATCAACCACTCAGCACTTTATTTTTTCCGTGTTGGCATTTTAAAAGGCATTTAAGCTGAGCTGGTTGGGTTTATGCTAAGAGTGCAAAGTGATTATGTCCCGGAAATTTGTTTGTCGATGATTATGTCGGGGTAAGGGACGGCGAGGGCTCCAGACAGGGTCTGACAATGATTTGACTACGTTCACGTATCCACTGGGTCATCACTGAATCAGAAATAAATATGCTTTTAACTAGATTTTTAGGATATATGTTTGTATACTCACCCCATTTGGAGCCTACGATGACCGGACATGCGGCATGCATGGTGGTTTTGTCACCTATGCCATCCGTGTGTAAGTTATACCACATAAGTGCCGTTCCAGCTCGGGGGTAGACAGTATACCCTGGAAAGGTTGATACTTTTGGAAAAACTGTAGCTCCTCCTTGCTCCACATCGCTTAGCTGGCTTAAAGAAGTCAATAAAATATATTTTTAAATTGTAAAATAACTCACATAAAACAAAACAGTGGCTATACGATCTCCCAAATACTTTTTAGTCCGATTACGATAGTAGCCCGTAAAAAATGTACCTGATGAGTTAAAATAATCCATGTGCTTTCCGTAATGTCCTCCAATACCATAATTTATTATCTAAATTTATAAAAATTAAAAAATAATATAAAAAAATAACATTAAATAAATACCTGAAACATCTCAGCATCGGCCAACTCCAAGCCACTCATATCGTGGATACGCCTGGAAATTCGCTTAGTGAGTTCTCTATACCCCTGATAGACCCAAAGTGCTTTGGCTGTTCTAACCAGCGTTTTAAACGAATCTTTTTTTACCGTATTAGCTTGAGCCAATCTCCGATCAGACATTTTAATAAGTGCTGATATTTCTCGTGGAGAAAGGACATTGTGAAATAGTACCACATATGGATCCAATCCGACTTGCTCCATTTTAAAGGGTGCTATACGAATAAAAGGTGTAGTGCTGGAGTTAAAGAAACACTTTAATCGACTATTTCGACTAATAAAAGTTCCTTTGCAAGATTCTTTTAAATTACTCCAAAGCTTTTGATCAGCAATTGTGCTATTTTTTGATGGTGTGCTTGGGTTTTCCTTCTTAAGGCTCAGGATGTCTTCCTTTTCACGTAAAAGGAAGGCATTTTTACTGCTGAGCTGTAGGCCCTTATTCAGGACAGATAGAGCTTCTGGGTACAGTTCTAAAACAAGGGGATAATTGTTAGATTAAGAAAGCAGAAAAATTACAACTTGTTACTGGATTGGACAAGTGACTCAGCAAGAAGTTTTATAACATCCAACTCCTCTATACTCAGATGTGCACCCATGGGCAAAGGATCCTCTCGAATTCGTTGCCACACTTCTTGAAGCAAAGGAATAGCATCCACAAATTGCAATTTTTCAAACAAGTGCTGGCCCATGGCATACAAATCAGCTACACTCATTGTAACACTAATTAAAAAAGGTTTTTTATGGCAGGAGATATTAAACCAAATCAAAACATACTTATATTTAATGCCAAAGAGGTTTCCTCTTATAATATCCTTCATTTTCAGATCATAATAGTCCCTTATTCGGAGAATACCTTCACAGGCACCATAAAGATCCAAGTCCGTGGGCAATTCCTTGAGCCAAAGGTCTAGTGCTTTCATTTGCAGGACACCCACTGGCTTTTGAATAAATCTTCGCCACATTTCCCAATCTTTGTTTAGCCTTCTGATAAGTGAAAGTCCATTTAATGGATTCGACACGTAGGTCAAAGGATCAGCGTAACCCCTGCCATTTTCCACTCTCATCGATGCAATTTGACTAATTAATTTGTAAATTAATTGATGTAATTAGAATCAAAAAACTTGCAAAAGTGTAATTGTACCTTTCCATAATCTGCAGTTTTTGTTTCAAGTCAATTGCGTATTCCTCAAGGTTATTAATTAATTTTCTCTCCATTTCCAGTAGTGGTACCATAGAAACCACCGATAGTGATGGTTTCTTATCAGGAGTGCCATTTGTCAACGAAAAAAGTATAATTAATATCAAAAGCGCTACTAGTCTCATTGCAAATATGTTTGAAATTCAGAAACTGAACATTCAAATGTTAAATTTTATAGACTTAAATGGCGTGGCATGCTTGGGTTAACATGTTACCACTTAAAATAAAGAAAATACTGAATAATCTAGAGGAATTTGTCTCTCGATTATTTCGATATGACGGGTATTTCCACCTGTCGAATATGGTGAATGATGATGTTGACCAAAGCGCTTTGGAATTTTTCAAACTTGACATTAGATTGCTTTTATCAAATACCTTGTGACTTAAATTGACACTTAGTTTGGTTTGAGGTAGTTTTTATTGAGTTTCATCGTTGGTGTATAATATCACTAGACTAATTTTAGAAAATTTGAGAATCAAAGTCACTTTTTAAGGCACGGGCGACTGCGGAACTGGGCGCGTTCTCGAATCCATTTGTTGCAAACTATAAAGGGTAGATAAATATATTATTATATATTATATATATATATTATATTATACATAAATATTATATCAATACTTACCCCACTTGGAACCAACTAAAACCGGGCAGGCGGCGTGGAGCGTTAGCTCATCGGGCTCACCATCATCCTTAAGATTATACCACATTATAGCCGAACCTCGCTGAGGATAAACGGTTTTATGAATGGTGGGAAAAACTGTGGCACCGCCCTGTTCTACATCAGACATCTACAATATTTCAAAAATATTAAATATTATTTTAAGTATCAAAATTTTAAGTAAATATTTCTTACTCACATAAAATAGTACTGTAGCTATGCGATCTCCAGTCAATGCGCTGGAATTTTGCTGCTGTCGTACGAATTAAATCAATAAAATTGTATTCACATTTCAATTGACAATACTTACAGTTGTATTAAAAAAGTCGTAGTGCCTGTCGTAGTGCCCTCCCAATCCATAGTTCATTAGTTGAAGCATTTCCGAGCCAGACAGATCGAATCCAGTCATATCGTTTATGCGAGCATTTAGACGAAGAGTTAAGGAGTTGTAAGAATCGGGGAACCAGGCCACCTTGGAGGTTCTGGTCTTTACCACGGTATTCTTTCCCTCTGAGGCCTTGAAAACGGTGGCCCTTTTCAGACTTGGGGTGGCCATTTCTTTCATTTCTTCAATCTCCGCAGTAGAGAGGACATCGTGGTAAATGACCATGTAAGGATTCAGACCCACCACTTCCATCTTGAGAGGAGCTAGGGTGAGGAACGGTGTGGTGGTGCTATTGTAGCGGCAGAGAAGCTTGGAATCGGTGGAAGGTGGATACATTCCTCGACAGCCCATTTCATAGAGAGTTGGGTGGCTGTTTGGATTGGAGAGCGGGTTCTAAAAATGATTTTATTTAAATAATAATCAGTCATAAATATTTTTGAAACCACAGTTCAATCATCTAGTTCCTGTTTTGTCAATGGAAATGATACTCATATTGATTATTTTTTCTGTATGTGTATCGGTTTTGTTTCTTTTTTTGGGGTCGTCAAATTTAGCCCTATCTATGTTTCCACAATGCCCTTATCACCTGGAAAGACCTACCGTCGGTTGGGGCTGCTGGTTGCTGGTTCCCGTCCTTATCAGAGCTTCTATTTCCATTTTCTTCACCAGCAGTTTAATATCATGCGGCTTATCAGTCAGTGCAATGTTGACAACTTTTAGAGCATCCGCCTTTTGGTCTATCGGAGTGTAATATTTTTAGAACCATATCGAAACTACGAACTTCTGCACTTACTAAGCTTAAGCAAAGTTTCCGCATAAAAGGTCCGGACCTCATCTTTGGCCAACAAGAAAGGTTCCGCCAGTTTGAAATTTTCCATCCAAGTTAGTGTTTGGTAAATCCACCTGGATGCTCCATATAAACGCCCCTGGTCGAAGAGGATCTGCGCCATGGCATATGAATCCAAAGCAGTGAGGCTAACACTAAAAATGGTTAAAATTAAAAACAATTTATTATTCAAATGTAATATCCATACTTACGGGTATTGGTTTCCATTAAGAAGCCCCTTGGCTATGTCCTCCACCTTTAAGCCATATGTCACCTGAATTCGATCCAAGGCGCTTACTGCCTCTTCGACATCGGTACTTGTGGGCATTTCCTCCCTGAGGCTCTGGATCTTGTCAGCCTGGGTCAAGCCCACTTGATCCTCCATGTAAAGCTGCCATATCAGCCAGTCACGGTTCATACGACGGATCAGGGAAAAAGAATTCAAAGGATTCGACAAGTAATCCACCGTGGTGCTCCGTGCCTTTTGGTTCTCCAAACGCAGGCTGTCAATACTCCTGAAAGATATAATATTTTAATCTATATTGAGGCAGTATTGTTTGATTTAAATCAAATTTTAATGGCATGTCAACAAAAGTACCTATATAAAGATAACAGAATAATCTTTTGTTATTACTCAGAGCTTTTTTTGAACTTTTTTGTTTATTTTGATACAAGTTGTACCTCAATAGCATATGATATACTTTTTATGATTTATGATATTATTGATCAAAGTAGACCTCGAAAAAACCGCATAAAGTATAACGATAGGTCTGGTCAAATATTTTTATTACCCACCTGCGTACGGTGTCCAGTTTTTTTTCCAACTCGTCGGCGTAATCCTCGAGGTTCTGGATGAGTTGGTCCTCCAGTTCCAGCAACTTCACCATTCCCGCCACCGATGTGCAGTGACTCGCCTCCTCGACACTGTGCACCTGCCTTAGGACCTGACAGGTGAGCAGCATCAGCGAAATAAGCCACTTGAAAGATGCCATTATCCACTAACGCTATTGGGTGTTGTTTTTACCGGAATTGCTCCAGTTGGGTCTACGTGCCAGAGCCAACTGCCGGGGCGCTTGCCAATCGAGCTGTCAAAGTTAACATCGGGCCGAGACGAACACCACTATGGTAGTAAGTTCCGTTTGTTAAGATTACGAGTCTGTGGCTTTCAGTTTCGCCCACTGATAAGCGGCGCATCGATAGCGGCACGCAGCGATTTAATTCAGGTGAAAACAGCACCGGAACAAAACAAGAGTTGTGCCAACTACGTGACGGCCAAAGAGCTGCGTCATCAAAGTAACGTGCTGGCCAAGATCACTGACCACCGGCAAGAATGGTGGGTTGCTGAATCGCTTAAACTTTTTATGAGATATTCCACCGTTTTCTAACAAGAGAACGCCCAATAAGAGATTAATAAGCCCAATAAATAACTTAGTCTGCAAAAAAGTAGATAAACACGTTGAAAATTTTATCAGAATTGGCAAGCTTGCCTTATTAAATACCTTTATCACTTTTAATTAATTTACTTTCAAATACCAGAAAAAGAGTAAATGAAACTTGAATAAGAGTACTGGTACACATCCAGGCGGAAGCACCCGACCGGGACATGCTTATTGGTTAATGCTCGCATTGCTGAACATTGGTGAATTGTTGGCCGGGCTATCTGCTTTAGCCATGAGTGCGTCCGTTGAAAGGGTTTTTGCGGAAAACCTAAATACCATACCATTTTGTATGGCAGACCCACTTGTTGTTATTGTTGAGCTCGCCAAGGTATATCAATGGCAGAAAAGGCTTTAAATTTTACACTTTTTCGGGAGGATGCTCCGGGCCAGTTCGGTCATATGTCCTGCCGTTGATATCGGCTTAACTCTGCCATAAAACTGTCAGCGTCATGCCTACTATGCGGGGTCGGGTTGTTGGACAAATGAAATAAATTTTACAGCCAAATGGACAGAGCGGCCGAACAAAAAGGCCAAATGCAAGCGTACCCGGAGATTTGTGTTCTATGAAGTGGGTGGGCGTTTTTTGTGGGGAGTGCGGAAGGCAAATCTAATGCGGACAACAAAAGCACCTGTGACCTGGAAAGTATCCAACAGCCAAGGACCCCTCAGTCCGCATGCATGTTTATGTCCGAGTACGAGTCCGTATCCGTGACCGTAGCTTTTGGCTTTACGGGTTCACTGTCAACAGCTGGACGGGACTTTAAGCTGCTTTCGGGCCACTTAAAGCCAGACATGGGCAAATATTTGCCCGCCGCAAAACATTGTTGTGACGCTGAGAGTTGTGCTGCCCTCCCCTACGGCAGACCAAGCCAGGAGCATGTTCATCAATTAAGTGTCATCAATCATCGGAGAATGGATCAAAATCGGCGACTAAAGCGACGGGCAAACATGTCACGGTACAAAATATCGTTTAACCTAAAATGTCAGAACCACAGAACCTATTTACTTCAGTCAGTTTTTGCAACTAAAGGAGTTTGAGGTTCTTAGTAATAAATTTAATTTTCCGGGTAAAGTAATATGACTATTTGACATTAAATCTTTATTAAAAGAGAATTCATTTTTCCTGGAATATTATTTAATTAAAACTTTTCTATTTACGTTCTATAAAATATCATACCTTCTCATACCCTATATAGAACCACCCCTTAGATATTGGAATACCTAAATACACAAAAGCTAATGCATTTGCGGGGGTGAGGCTTCAGAATCGTCATCGATGGCACCTTCTCCAACATATCAGTTTCATTTTGGTGACCCACTGAATTCCATGGCGGGAATAAAATTCAAAACGTTAAAACTTTGAACGGTTACCACTTGGCAAAGTTTTTCAATGCTTTATGGGCCGACCACTAAGCTCAAATCAAGCGGAAATGAGAACACTCGGATTCGGGATTCGGGATTCGGAGTTCCCAAAGAACAGGGAATGAGACTTGAGAAACAATGCTCCATTAATGGCGCCCAGCGGTCGAAGATGCCGCCCGCCAATCTATTCCAATACGAAATCAATGTCGAGCGGTTGCAGTTATGATTATTGCAGTTGTAGAAAGTTTTTCCCAAGGAATGGGGGTATCCCCCAGCATAATGGGCTGGGCAAACAGAGAAGCTGATTCTCGGTAAAGGTTTATGCAAATGCCGGAGCTTTTATACACTGGCAAACAGAGAGCGCTTGAAGGTCCAAGGCGACGGCGATGGCGATGGCTCGCTAAAAAATGCTTATGACTTGTGTAAACAATATTCCCCGGACCAGGATCCTGAGTCCTTCGTTATACTTACGTGAAGGTATGCCCCAACCCCATTTCGATACGTTTCTGTGGCTCCAGTTAGAAAAGAACACCCGACGAGTATCTCCGGATCTGGGTGTGTAAAAATATTTTATGGACTTTGGCATTTGCCGGGGAAAAGTTACTTTGTGCCAGCGTGTGTGACTTCCGCTTGTCCTTGCATGTCCTTCTGCTCACACACACACATGCTCCCACATTTTTATGCATTTTCTTAGCGGCTATTTTTATGCCCGCACACGTTTTCCATTAGACATCAACAGGACTGTCGTTTCCTCCAGTTCAGCTCGTTGTTTGAACTCCCAGATATCCTGGCGTTTGGCTGGAGGAGGGCTCGGGGGTAGACAAGCTGGCTGAAAACCTGTCACTCCCGCCTCTAATTGAAACTGGGTCAATTGTGCCGAGTTAGAAGAACATTAATCAAAAGCGGAAGACAGTCTCTCTCGTTTTGCATTCGTCATTAAAGCAATTATCATGTTGGGACAATTACTCTTTGTTAGGAAGCTCCGAGCGATTGATTGAAACTGTTGGCTGAGCTGCGAACTTCAAGCTGCGAAACTTCAAACTGTGAATCCGCTAAATAGGAACAGTTCCTAGGTGGCATTAATCTTCATAAGCGTGACAAGTTCATTAGAAAAGCAAACACGGCATTGATTCCGCTTGCCTCCGGCCGGAGGCAGTACCTACCCCTTGATGGGAGGCTAATTAAAAATGTAACACGTATTAAAAAGATATCCTGGGGCGTTTAAGTAATTTATCAAGGATACATTTTCATTTCCAATAGCTTAAAAATCGAAGAATACTTTTTTAACCTTGGCTTTAAGTCTGATATAAAACACAAAAAATGATTCACATTTTCCGGATATACAAATATTATCCTTGCCCTTACTTTATCTCCCACTCCCACTTGTGCGCCTTCCACCGTGCCTCGCATAATATCGCGGATATAATTTTTTAGCAAGGCGCTGAAGCGCGACGCGTATAATGCGCATAATTTCTATGCCACGTTGGTCACCCGAAAAGTAAATGTAGACGCAGCACCGAGGTCGACCTTTGTGCCAGCCGCCCCGCCGCCCCACCAACTACCGGCAATAACTAAAACAACAACATGGATAGCCGAAAGGGCTTTTGGCAATGGGCTTAGCCAAGGAGTGGGAAGGGGATGTTTGGGAGTCGGACTCATGAACAAAAGAGGTACATGCGAAAAATAAAACCTATTACCGGAATCATAATTATCTTTTATGGCCGCGTCTGTCATGACGACATTATGGCGTGGTCTGCTCCTGTTACCCCGTCCTCTGCTCTCCATTATACCCTTCTCTTTTTCGCTAATGTCCTGTATCTTATAGTCTATCTCTGTCGAGCGGCGCACGTAGCAATAAAAAACCGCGAAATGCGGCCAAGTAGCAACAGAAAAAGTAACATAAATTACATACAAGCCCCAAAAAGCAGGGGGAAAACGGGGCAGGGGGATCCGCCGTGTTTTTGGGGGCCTCACAAATTATGTAGCCGGAATAATATTTTCATTACGGCCAGGAAAACAGTTTCGATTCGTTCCCAGTCACCTCGCCCCCCAGACATCTGTCGCCACGTTGCCCTGGCCAAAACGAAAACAGGTGTTTCCTAATTTATTGGCTTGGCCCGCAGACGGTCCCCCGCTCTGGGTAATAATTTCCTCCCACCCACGCCTCTGGATTCTATGAGCTTGTAGCCCTCCTGGCGAAATGATTATTAAAAGTGCTCGGGAAGGGGATGGCAAACACTGTCTGCGGCTGGCAGACAAATCAAAGTGCCAACATAGCTTGTCATGTGTTTTTTAATTTCTAATATTTCACGCGTCGGAATACACGCTCATCCCTCTGCCTTGGCTCTATTTTTTACCATCCATCCCCAAAGTAATGCTAATGCCTCGCAGTGCTCCTGACAGCCGCCGACAGAGGGCGCTGCCATTGTTGTGCACTTTGCTGCAAATTATGCGAGACACGTCGCCCCGGCCATTCCCGCTTCGAATGGAACAGATCGAAGAGGCCAGGACTCGTCTCGAGGTGTGCCCGAGGTGCATTTCGCCAAGGATCACGAATGGGAGCAGGACTTGGGCCAGGGAAAGAACTCATCCTGCGGCAACTACGTGTGATAATCCGAGGACCCCTCAAAGTTTTTTTAACGGGTGCATCGAATTGATAAGTTTCTGTGGTAACGACAGGGAAAGAACCCTTTAGATGGACTTTTAGAAGTGTATGTTAAAAATATCAGAAAAAGGATATAAAGTAATCTGTATATTTTTTATATTTTAGGAAAGGGGAAGTGGCGGTCTTATTAAATATAAAATATTTCAAGCTATAAGCTACCTCTTTTTCTTCGTCTTAAGAATCCTTAGCTACCCTGTAATTTAGACTGATTGTGGCGGCTGCTGAATAGCCCAAGGCCAAGCGTGTGGCATTCCCCTCGTTAAAAATCGCAAAATGCACGTGCAGCCTTTGTGTGGCTGTCGCTGTTGTTGGTTCTTGTGTTGCTCCTGCTGGTGTTGTTGTAATTGCTAGCCGCCGCCTGTTGACAGGATACTTCAACTATTGTTTACCAGGATCCCCACCATCAACCCACCGCCCCCACTCCTGTTTAATTCAGCATGAAATTGGTTTGTATTATGATTTCGCAGTGGATCGCCGCTGGCGCTTGGCGAACACCTCAGCAAGTGCCAGCAGACTTAAAGCTTTAACCACTGCGGTGTGTTCCTTGAAACTGGGAGATCCTTAAAAAATATATATGTATAAGCGTTCCTGAAAAAGTTTGCTTTGATGCTGGGCTTTAATTAAAAACTGCGCGCTTCGCGTAACTAGCACTTGATTAATTTTTGGTTGCACGCAAAAGTAGCGCGAAAAAATGCAAAGCAAAACAGAGACACTGGCATAACCGCAAAAGGACGAAGGGCGAAGGGGAAGCAGCAGGAAAAAAGGATTCAAATTAATTATGTCCATGCTGTGCCCTGGGGTTCCCATCCTGGCCCAGAACTCGTCCTGGTCGTCCTGTTCGCTGGTCCTCGGTC